GTTTATTGATCCCTTTATCATTATGTAATATCCTTTTATTTGTCTTTTATTATAGCCTTTGTTTTAAAGTCTATTTTATCTGATATATCACTATTCCGGCTTTTTTTCATTTCCATTTACATTGAAATATCTTTTCCCATCCCTTTACTGTTAGTCTGTTAGTGTTATTTGATCTGAAATGAGACTCTTTTAGACAACTTATGCATAGGTCTTGTTTTCTTATCCATTTAGCTTCCCTATGTCTTTTGATTGGAGCATTTAATTTGTTTACATTTAAAGTGATTACTGATAGGTACATAGTTACTGCCATTTTATCATTCATATTTGTTATTTCTATTTTCTTTTTTACCCTTTCTCTTTTCATAGAAGTCCCTTTAACATTTCTTGTAATACTGGCTTGTTGGTGATGAATTGCTTAAGCTTTTTCCTGTTTGAGAAGCTCTTTATCTCACCTTCATTTTAATCAAAAGCCTTGATGGGTAGAGTATTCGAGTTTTAGATTCTTGTTTTTCATAATTTTGAATATTTCTTGCCAGTCCCTTCTGGCCTGCAAAGTTTCCATTGAAAAATCAGCAGACATTCTTATGGGGGTGCCTTTGTAAGTAACTAGCTGCCTTTCTCTTGGTGCTTTTAAGATTCTCTTTGTCTTTGACCTTTGGCATTTTAATTGATGTATCCTGGTGTGGGTCTGTTTGAATTCCTCTTGTTTGGGACTCTTTGTGCTTCCTGAACTTGTATGTTTAATTCCTTTTCCAGATTAGGGAAGTTTTCTGTCAGTATTTCTTCAAATAGATTCTTGATCCCTTGCTCTCTTCTTCAGGCACCCCTTCGACCTGGATATTGTTACGCTTCATGTTGTCCCAGAGGTCTCTTAAACTATCTTCATTTTTTTAAATTCTTTTTTCTTTTTGTTGTTCTGATTGAGTCTATTCTGTTACCTTGTTTTCCAGTTCATTAATTTGATCTTCTGCTTTTTCCAATCCTACTGTTGAATCCTTCTAGTGTATTCCTCATTTCAGTTATTGTATTCTTCATTTCTGTCTGGTTCTTTTTTATGGTTTCTGTGTCCTTTTTTATGCTTACTATTTCTCTGTTGATATTCTAATTGTGCTCATCCATTTTCCCAATAAGTTCGTTGAGCATCCTATAACCATTATGATGAACTCTTCTCTCGTAGGTTGTTTGCCTCCATTTAATTTAGCTTATTTTTTGGAGTTCTATCCTGTTGTTTCATTTGTGGTGTGTTTCTTTGTTTTCTCATTTTGTTAGCCTCTTTGTGTTTGTTTCTATGTGTCAGGAATATTTGTTTCGTCTCTCAGCCTTGGCTGGATGGCCTAATGTGGGAGGTGTCCTGTGTGGCCCAGTGGCGCACTCTCCTGGATCACCTATGCCAGGGGCTCTGGACATAATCTTGTGTGGGTTGTGTGTGATCTTCTGTTGTCGCCAAGCCTTTATTGTTGTTGGAACATCAGCGGATGGGATTAATGGTCAGGCTGCCTGCTTGGCTTTTTTGTAGCATTTCCTCCTTACCAGCCTCATCCTATCTCTGGAAATGTATTTTCTGTTAAACCTGGTGGCCAAAGACATGGTATAAAATGCTTGAGATTTATTTCTTAGGAAATAAAAAAGGAAAAGAAAAGCGGGGCAAAACCCCACTCTGCCTACTATAAGGCTAGCCCTGTCACCCTTCAAATGTTCTAAGATGTCTTCATCTCCTGTTATGCCTTCTGCTGCCACAGGCCTTCACATATGATGTCTTTCCTCTGCCTTGAATGTGTTTCCCCCTCTCCTTGGCTGGGTTAGGTACTGCTCATCCTTTTGATCACAGTTCAGACATCACTTGTTCAAATGAGCTTTCCTAACCTCCTGACAGATTCAAATCTTCCCTTTATAAATTTAGCTCTCCAAAACTCATCTACATTTAAAGGTGTTGCAGGAGTCCTTTTCCTTGGAGCTGAAGTGAGCCAGAGAATCTTTTTGGAAGACTGAAGGCTCCCATTGGACATTCTTACAGAGGTCTAACCCAGCAGCTCAGTGGAACATGAGTCAGACACTGAGTTTTAGGTTAGTTTGCTGTTGGCTAGCTGTGCGACCAGAAGCAGATCACCTCCTCTGGATTTTAGTTTTCTAATCTCCTATTCCAGGGGATGCCTGGGCCTGTCCAGCACTAAGAATATCTGGGGCCCTTTAAAAGAGTAGGTGCTCATGGAATACTACCAGTTTTAATTCTAATAAATAATCTGGTAACTATTTTAAGAAGATAAAAAGCAGGTAGGAAAGAAACAACTTGTCCCTTTCCAAGGCTGACTGTAAATCAGCAGTGAGCTACACTAAGGCCTAAGTGAAAAACGTCTGCTGACTAATTGAAGTTCTTGTTACATTAGCTGAGCTTCCAAGTTTTATTTAGAAATGGAGAACAAGATGATATTGTTCCAGTATTTTTGTAGTATTTTGTTAAGCCCGATGTTGTTCAGACCAGGTGATTCAAATTTGAAGGCAGGCAAGAATTTGTTTAGGTGGCCATTTAACTTAGAGGCAGAAGCACAGTTAGTCCTAGTTATTATTTAAGCTAGCAAGTCTTTTTTTCAGGTATTACACATACTTATACACATATAAGTTTGTATGTGTATCCACATGTTCTGTGTCATGAGATAAAATGTATTTCTTACTGTAAATTATATACAAGAGATTTTAAAAGCAGTTGATTTAAGCTGAGTTACGTGGTTAAACCTTACCCATTTCCTGTTTAGAAAAGAAAGTGCAGGTCGCTGCCAGCATTAATTTTACATAAACAAGCTCTTTGAGGCCAAAGCAAATATGACTGGTTTTTAATGTGAAAATAAATAAAAACTGTTCTTGGAGTTATGTCTAAACAGAACTTGTCTCTAATTCTAATGTAACAGAAATGTATACAGAAATTGGATTCATCAAATGAATTTCTGGCTAACAACTATTCGAGAATGATGTTAGCATCATGCCTAGGAATGCAACGTTTTCTAGGATTTGACATTTTCAGCGATCAAGAATTACTGTATTTTGTAAATGGAAATACTACTACTAAAAACAGAATGCTATAAATAGAATGATGTCATTTCTTTCCAAAGACTCGATATATCTGAGTGATGCAAAAATAATAATAAAAGCAAGATATTTCTTGGTAAACTTTGGGGGTAAGGTTAGAACTCTAATCTGCGAATTATCTCAGGGTGTAAAGGCTGCAGCCGCAAGTGTTGCCAGCAAGTATTCTTGGGGCAAATGGGAAATGGGTTAATAACATACTCTTAATTTTCATTTAGGATCAGAGTTTAGCAGGAGATGCATGGAACACAGTATCAAGAAAATCCATACACCAGGAGGATTCAGGATTGTTAACTCTCCTTAATGGAAAAACTAGAAAGAGCTCGAAAAAGAATACATCGTTTTAGATTTGCTGTTCATCTTACTACAGATATCGTAATGGAGAAAGCTTTACAAAAGACCAGAAAACTCAAATAGCCATCTCTATCTGTCTTTTGCTTAACTCACTTTATTTCTGTACTGTGAACTATGATCATCAGTGACAAGGAAACAACTTGTTTCCTTGAAAAAAAAAAACTAGTGTAGTCTAGTGTTAAAATTATTTACAATTTAGAGAGTCATAATTCTTTTGAAAATTGGTAATGTAGACATTGCAAAGGCGATAATGTTTAGTTAATGTTGGACAGATTTTTATCACCATTAGAAAGCATGCTTGAGATAGTCTGACTTAAAATAACACGGCTTCTTCTAAGCAGCTGAGTGGACTAACTGATTCTGAATATGCCCTTCATTAGGGTAAGAGGATATGGTAATTATCTTCAGAAAAAAGGAAGGATTTCATTTAAACTTTAGGGCATGGTCAGGCTGATCTTTCAAGATGCAAGTTACAGTGTGGATTTGAATGCTTAGTGGCGAACACAGTTTGGTGAGGTTACAGAAGGTACCACTGGGAAAATCTGCTTGTCTGGCTTGAACTATTACTCCAGGCACTAGCAAATAATGAATTTGTCTGTAGTCGCTGATGTGATATTTAACACACAAAATAAGCTGGTCACTGGTGATTTGTCATTGTACTGATGCGAAGCTGGTTGGTTGTTTTTACTGTAATGTCAGTAGTTGGGTAAGAGCTTATATTGCCCTCTCATGTTCCTCCTTCCTGTGTACACTCTGTCCCCCCAACACCCTTCTCAGCCCTCTTCCCCTTGCTTATCAGGTCATGTCTCAGCACGCTCCCAAAAATAATTATTCAATGTGGTAGGAAAAACATTGGTTTGCTATAATAAGGGCGGTAGTAATCCCCTAACCCCCACCCCATACATAAGAGCACAGACCTCAGATTCAGACAGATCTAAACTCAAATCTCTTCTCTACAATTTATTAACACTTTGATCTTAAGCATGTTTTATAGTTTCTCTGAATTTCAGTTGTCATCTCTAAAATGGAGAATAATATTCTACTTTATAAGCGTTTTATGAGGTTCTGTGAGATTTCCATGAAATAAGTTCCTTCCTCAATTCCTGGCATTTAATATATGTTGTTGCTATTATTATTTAATTTATCATAATATGGAATAATGATTTCATTGTAATGCCTAAAATCTTTCATATGTTCTTGTTTGCTGCAAAATACGTCATTTGGGTTTGCTTTCTAAGCTCCTTGCACCTGTATATACAGGGCATGTAGTAGCCAAAGCTATCAGTTCATGACTTTTTGTGCATTGCTATGTTTGTAGTCTTCTATGTAGTTGTATTCTGATGCTTTTCATGAAAAACAGTAAGAATGCAAAATATGTTATGTATGTACTTGGAGTCACCAATGATGCCTGGTGTCATCATTGACTAAACAATGTGATACTCGTAAAAGATTTGTTTGTAAGTTTTATCAACAGAAGTGGTAAGTGGAATTAGAAGTGCAATTTATTGAATTAAAAAAAATGTTTATATGTAATAATAAATCCACTTTTTTTTTTTTTTTTTCAACAGATGGGCTTAGGTCATGAACAAGGATTTGGAGCCCCCTGTTTAAAATGCAAAGAAAAATGTGAAGGATTTGAACTGCACTTCTGGAGGTAATGTTCTGAAAACTATGTTAGTGATTTCTACCCTTTAGCAGTGCTTCCTCACACAGTGGGCATCTTACAGCTTCTCTAGCCTGGGTGCTAGGTTGCAGGTCTGTGTTACATTCTTTTCTAAGAAATAAATAAAAAACAAAGCTATTATGTCTTCCTGTCATTAAATTTGAGCTAACTAGGCTACAGTAACTATATTTAGAATGGTTTGATTTATATGCTATCCTATAGATTTCCTGAGTCTAGAATACTAAATATGTCTCTTTTCTGAGTGACAAATAAGTTTGCGGTAATCTCTAGGACTTTATTAATTTAATTATTAGGTCTTTTCTTAAAAATTGTTAACTTTGCACATCTTCTCTATATATTTGCAATAAATAAATATGAATGATGAATTGAGCATTCATGTCCAAATTGTCAGGAAATAGACTAACATCTGGGTTTCTTTAAAATTTTCAGCTGTAAATTTACTGCTGAAAAATTTAGAAGCACTGGAATTTAAAATAATAATAATGATAAAATAATAATTCGTTGCCAGTATCTTGATTTGAATTAAGCACCTATATATGAAGGACAAATGTTAGTGGATCAAAAATGTGAATTTTGTATAGATCTTACTTGAATGTTTTTTTTTTTTAAAGTAATATTGTATATCATATAAACCTAAATTGGTATTTAAAACCTGTTCTTATGAAGAACATAAATGTTCATTAATGTCTGTCAACACAATAATGTAGTTCATAAGTCTTTTCAAAGCTAAAATCAGCACAGAATCATTCGAAGGAAAAAATAAAGCTACTCAAGTGTACATTATTAGGATGGCAAATACCTGTTAGAATGAATCTCACTTGAGAACCTCTTCTGTACTTCTTTCCATAGGAAACTCTCTAGAATAAGAAAATCTCATCAGCTATTGCTTGTGTCCAGGATAAGTTAAAGGAGAATGTTAAAAAAAAAAAAAAAAAAAAAGATGAGAAATATCAGGCCCTTTTTTATTTCCCTATGTCCTTTTAAAGCTAGCTTATTTAGTAAGTTTTAGGAAACAAAGACAGTTGTTTTAAATAGTGAAGGCACTAGAAACCTCAGCCCTCCCAAAAATGATGATGTAGGGAGCTAAAATTTTCCAGGGAGTTTTTTTAATTATAAGACTTTTATAGCTCTTCCTTGTGCTATATCTTTAATAGATATAGCAGTTAGGCAATATATCTATCATGTTTTAGAAAATTAAAGTCACTAGATACAAAATAGTTTTCATGGATTAGAATATTTCAGCAGTTATTATGTGCACTACTCTCTATTTTGCTCGTAGGGGCTTTGTGGAGAGCTGCACTGCCCTCTGGTGGCCAGAGTTATTACTTTACAGTCCTAATTAAGTCTTTTTAGTTGGTAATAATAGTTGCCAAAAACTGCTATGAAATTTTTAAAGCTCATTCCTAAGTGATAGCATCTTTTTCCTAAACCAGAGGGCTAGTGTATAGTAATTTTTGTTTGCTGTATATTATTTTTCTATTGCAGGTCACTATAATCTGATATTTTGAGATAAAAATATGTCAGACAAGAGTAGATCTCTGAGGCATGAAAAACACTTTAAAAAAATTTTTTTTCACACAGAGTCATTTACTTGCCTGGGTATAGTCTGAGGATGTGTTAAGAGCCATGAAAGACTAGGGCTTCCAATCCAGCTTGTGTCCATCCACATGGTATCAGTTAGTAGTTCTGTCTTCCTGGCAGGAGTCCAGACACATTTTTCTAAGGATTCTTGATAATTCCCTAACTTTTCTACCATAACTGGAAGGCTTTGAGGGCAGGTGCCTTTGACCTCTAGATGAGCCATTTTTCAGTAGTCTTTGAAGTAAAATGTTCTAGGCAGGTTGTCCTGAGTGGAACGAAGATTCAAAGTTTAGTCTAAGGCCACAGAGCTGCTGTGATTTAAATGAACATGGGGTCCCAGGAACCTGCCCACTCAGCCTCCTTTTCCATCTTCATGATGATCTTTGACTTCTAGGACGCCTAGGGCCTCATGAAGTACAACGTGAAAGAGCTAAATTATTCTCCACTTTATACCAGTCTGTCCTTACACACGGCCACAAGAATGGTCTTCTGAAAGTGGATACTATTATATACTTCCCAATAGCTTAAGAGTTGTCGGTACTATCCCGGTAGACTTGATCCTTTAGGCCAAATCTTTGGCCTTTTATGTTAAACCTCAGTGTCTGGCCTCAGCCTCTTCTCCAGTCTCCTCTTCCAGTTCCCTTCCAAGCAGCTTGTGCTCCAAACAGCTTGGATGCATGCTGCTGCCTGAAATTTCTGTGCCTTGTTGCATGTTTCTTTGCCTGGAAAGACCCTACATCTCACCACCATGAAACAAAAAGTCTTTCCTATTCTTCACATCTCAGCTCAAGCACTACCTCAGAGAAGTCCTTGTCTCTGATATTAGTCTACTAAGTCTTCTGTAACAAAATACAATAGACTGTGTGACTTAAACAACAGAAGTTTATTGTCTTAAAATTATGGAAGCTAAAAGTTCAAGATCTGGGTGCCAGCATGGTTGGGTGAGGAACCTCTTTCTGGTTCGTAGATGGCGGTTCGTAGATGGCTGCCTTCTTGCTACATGCTGACATGGCCTTTCCTCACTGTGTCCGCACACATGGAAACCAAGATACCTCTTGGCTGCCTTCTTGCTACATGCTGACATGGCCTTTCTTCACTGTGTCTGCGCACATGGAAACCAAGATACCTCTCCCCCGCCGCTCTCTTCTCTCTCTCTCTCTCTCTCCCCCCCACCCCATTATAAGACCACCAGTCCTATTAGATTAATACCCATCCTTATGACCTCAGGTAATATTAATTAACCCCTAAAAGCTCTGTCTCCAAATATAGTCACATTGGGGGCTAGGACTTCAACATAAGATTTGGGGGTGGGGAACATAGTTCAGTCCATAGCACCCTTTTCCTCTGTGTCCACAATACCCCCTAGTAAAGTTGAGTGATCATATTTTTCCCCTTAATACTTTGAACACTTGTAGGAAGCCAGGAAATAGTCAGACCTGATTAGTCATCACTTGATCTCCTGCTGGTACCTTCCATTGCTGGGGGCAGGTAGCCCACTTCTCAGTCCTTAGGGGTCCGCCTCCTAGGGCGCAGAAAGGGTAATGAAAGGCATTAATGGATCTGGAGAGTGAAAGGAAGAGATCCAGCAGGCATGAGTTCTTATTCAAGGTGTGTCACAACAGTTGGAAAAGCTAAAAATGAATTCTTAGCTTATGGAAGTTTAGAGAAGAACTTGTCACTTAGTTAGCCACACCTCATTTTACAGATTAAAGGAGTAAAACCCAAGAAAGTTAAAATGACTCATTTGAGCTTATGAATTATTAATAAGAAATATGATTTATGAACATTTTCTATGTGTTACATACCAATAAGCACAAGTAATAGTTTTTTATTGCTACCTAATAAATTACTACAGATTTAGCAGGCTAAAAGAACACCTATTAATTTAACATCCATTTATGCTTTAGGTCAGAAGTTTGGGCAGGCTTATCTGCATTCTCTGCTTAGGGTCTCAAAGGGCTGAAATCAAGGTGTTGGCCAGATTGGGCTCTTATCTTGAAACTCTGGGGAGAATCTACTTCCAGGCTCACTCCTGATGTTGGTAGAATTGATTTCCTTGTGGGCGTAGGCCTGAAATCCCTGTTTCCTTGCTGACTGTCAGCCAGGGGCTGCTCTCAGCTTCTAGAAGCCTCTCACATTCCTTTACAGATGGCCACCTCCATCTTCAAAGCCAATAGTGCTTAGAATCTTTTCTGCACATAAAATCTCTCTGACTTACTCTCCTGCTCCCAGCCAGAGAAAACTCATTGCTTTTTAAGGGCTTGTGTGATTAGATTAGGCAATTTTGGATAATCTCCCCTGTGTCATATAAAGTAATATAATCATGAAAGTAACACCAGAGGATGAAGGCGATAGAGACTGTCTTAAAATTCTGCTTACCACAGCATTTTATGTACCTGATTGTACTTAATCCTCATAATACTTTGAGATAAGTGGTAGTTTTCTCATTTTATATGTGAGAAATCAAAGACTTGGAAAAGTTAAATAAGTTACCAAAGGCATGGTTTAAAGATGGCAGAGCTAGAATTTGGAACAAAGCTTGTCACCACTTTCTTTATCACCACTACCTTTCTACATGGCAGAGCAGAAACTAGAGCCCATGCTTACACTCTCATGACCCATGACCTTCAGACTGTACCAGGCTGTCTTCTCTAAAGTGTGGTGCCTTTGTGACATAGACATCTTTGTGAACAGTGGGGTCCTTTAACTATGAATTCCCCTTCCTCAATGCACCAATGATTACAAGACTTGAGAAGAGTAAAAGATTGAGGATGCCTGACATTTACTAAATAAAAACTTCTACCTTCTGAGCATATATGCAAGTAATATTTAGAGATAACAAATATTTATGAAATGCAACACATAAACCCAAGATTTCAAGAAGTTTATAGCCAGTTATTTCATATTGAAAGTGTAATAATATTATTGGACCATTTATCGTATACATAATAGAATTAATATTTTATCTTTGATAAATCCTTCCAATAAAACAGTTGTATTTTACAAGAAAAGTGTTACTCGGTTATAGCATACATTTGTTCAGAGAATTTCTGACTGGTTTAGAGCTTGCTGAAACTAAAAATTCCCTACCATAAATGGATTAATGCCTGTGTTGAATTCTATAACAGAGGACCATGCTTGAGTCCATATTTGTGTATCCCTGGAATAAAAGAACAGCTTCCAACCCTTTTAAAATTATGGTTTGTAGCAGCGCCGTGACCGTGCCTTTAAATCACTGCGAATGCTGGCAGCATGTCAAAGCACTCCAGTTGCAACTACTTGCTTGGAAAAATAACAGTTTTTACAAACAAGGATACAGAAAACATTTCTCTTTTGGGAAGATAAAGGATGGTTTTTTGACTGCCCTCAGCTCAAAACTGTAAATTTGT